TTTTTTCCTCCTCGCCCTCTCTCTCTCTTTTTCCCTCCTGTCCTCCAGCCCCAGCGTGCTCCCTGCACCCGCTCCGCTCCTAGGCAGTCCCCCCATTCCTGAACAGACCCACCACGGCCGCCCTCATGCCCCCAACGTGGGGGTCCACCAGGTGCAGGGGCCTCCAAAGCACCCCAGGGTGGGGCGGCGGCGCAGGGGCCCGTTGCCTTCTGCATGGCCCTCGGCAGGCCCCCCCCCCAGGCACCACCTGTGGGATGGCTGCTGCAGGGGAGGCCGGTGCCTACCTGGGGGGGAGCCCAGGTCTGGGGGTTCAGCACAGAGCAGGCCTGGGGCACGTGCTGGCCAATTCCCCACTGGATCCAGCCCTCTGGGTATCATCCCCCGGTTTTGGGCAGCTTCTCGCCTCAAGGAGGGGGAACCCTAAAGTATAATTATAATTACAGGTAATCCTATTTATTAGCTTCATTTTAGCTGGTAGCTCCATGCTGCTGTGGTGCTGCTCAGCCAGCAGTACTTAAGCATCCCGTCTTGAGACATGAGGCGTCATGGTCACTGATTGCAGTGAAGCTTATGGGGGCACCACATGGCCGCCTGCCTCTCAGAACCACGCAAACTCTCCCCAAAACCCTCCCCACCAATGCTGCAAAGGAGACCCCTGTGCTGGGACTGGAGCCTGCTCCCACCCGTAGCACATCCCTCCCCAGCTCCTCACCTGGGGACCAGGGTCTCCCCGGAAGGACACTGGAGCAGGACGGCCTCAGACAGGGCCGCAGCAAATCCCAGCTGCCTGCAAAGGGCTGGAAATCCCCAGTGAACCCCACTAAGAAGGTTTCCCCCTGCCAGTCCCTGCTTCACCTATTGAGGCAGGAGGAGAGAAGGAAGGCAGAAGCTGGGAAACCATCATTTCACAGCATAACTCCCTCCCCGTGGACTCCGAGCAATGACAATCATTGCAATTTTAGGAAAGACTTGACGCTGAGCACTGCTTTACAGTATTGTCTTTAATCACTGAAATCACAACAGACCAGCGGCTTTGCCCCCGCTGCCAGCCCTCATTCTTTATAAATATTTAACAGCACAGAAGAAAAGAGGGCTGTGTTCACAGGTGGCTAAGGTTAGTTACACCAGCACAAATCCTAAAATACTCTCTCCTGGAGTTGAGCTTTGAAGGATACATAAACAAAATAATTAGTACCGTTCAGTATCATTAGCCAGGCCCTGGATTTGCTTTCCAGATACAGCCTGCATGTGTGCACCTGGGTCCCCATCTGGCCGTTCACCGCAGACCTGCTGCGCGGGGACGAGGGTCGGTGCCAGCAGGGCTGGGAACTGCAGCCCGGTCATCCCTGCACTGGGGCCGCAGGGCATCCCTGTCATCTGCCTTCAGGGGCTCTACACCATGTATTTTCACATGGGGACATTTTCTTCCCGTCTCTCATCTTGTCTTAGCGGGCTACTGATGCATATTGCCACGCGAGCTTCTGGCTGCCCTGGAAGAAAGCAGGGTGAGGATTTTTATTGCTCAGAAAAGCTTAATTTTGCTTCTCCTTAGGATGGGTGAGCAGCTCAGGGCTCTGTCTGGGCTGACAGCAGGAAGACACCTGCCCGATTGGCTCTGGTAAGTACACCTAGTGCCACTGCAGCCACCGAGTGGCATGACGCAGAAACGGAAAAGAAAAATGAACGCACAAATGCAGTGCGATGAGAGAGGCAAATCCCCTCCCAGCTTCTCCCAGTGACGCAGGCACGCGGCGTCAGAGGATGGGGGAAAAGGGACGTGTATCTGGCCGTAGCCCTTCCCTGCCCGCAGGTACTAACTCCAGAGATGTTTCTCCAGCAGTAAACCTGGGTCAACTTGTCCTTACATTCATGCACAGAAGGTTGCTCAAAATGCATCTACAAACACTTGGCGTGGGCACAGGGGCGTGAAAGGCAGGTCTCTCGCAAGCAGCACGTGCCGCATGTCCATGTGCACAGACACGACAGCGCACATGACCCCAAAAGCGGACACAGAGCACACAGCCAAGGCCAACATGGGAGAACCACAGTCCAGACCAGCATACACAGGTGCGCTTCCCCTCAAAACTCCCTCTAATAAATATCCAGGGATACAACAAACAAAAGCAAATCCCCTCCGTGCCACCTTCTCCCCTGCTCTC